GAGGTGTTTTCCAGCCTGGAGGATTCTATGATTCCTGTTTCTGAAATTTGTGGAACAGGGCATAATATATTTACTCTACTTCTTTTAGCTAATCAAGTAGGCAGTGAACTGGAAGGCTTTGTTTGCTGTTTTCCTTTTGGCTCAAATGTCATTGCTTGTAATTATTACAATTTTCAATAACCATGACCACCAGCAAAAGGAAGTGAGGTTCAGTGCTTTGACTCCATGTAATACACAGGCACAGGTCATACATTTTTTAGCTAATACATGCAAATCGCATAAACATGCACCTCACACAAGAATACCTCAGGTGTCTGCTGGAAGCCAGTCTTCCTTTTCCCTACATATAGCATTTGTGAAAGAGAAATTATATAGAAGTCAGCCTGGATTATGTAATAATTGTCTGGAATTATCCTAAGACGTAGTCAAATGCCAGAAAGTTTTATCACTCATTTTCATGTGGTTTAAATAATCATGTTTAAATATTCATCTTTGAGGGTTTTTTTTGTTTGGTTAATTTTTGTTAGTTTTTTAAAGAATAATTCACAAGAGTCCATTGTTTCAAAGACTAATATATTAACTTGGCAATTACTCTCGCCATCCAGGTTTGAACATGTGGGCTGATTTTACTCTCCATTGATGGTAACACATTCTTTCTTGACAGTAACAGTGACAAACCCAAATGTTAGCATATGTCATTCACATATTTTGCTTCTGTTCCTCCTCTACATTAAGAGCTTGGATCCTTGGGAAGTCTTGCTGTTCTTGTGCAGGTGAAATTTCATTAAAATTAGTATAGGGTCCTGTTTTGTTGAGGCTTTTTCCCCTGATTAGGGGCTGAAAGGATAAACTCTTTTTTTTTTTGTTATTATTATGACATGACATGCCTTTTGATCTCTACTTTTCTGTATTATTCCTGAGAGCCTGCTTTGGCCAAGAGTATGATGTGGTTTCTTCGAAAACAATACCACAAGTGTGCTACTCAAGTGAAGTGCTGATCATCAACAAGTGTCTGTGGGAATTCAGCTGGAATTAATTTAATGTTTGTTTTGAGATCACTTGATCTTTGACCTAACTTTTATGTAAAGGACTTATAGTACCAGCAGAATAGCTTGCTCCAAAAGATGCAGTGTAATTAGTTTGGTCTGCCTGACTTCAAATCCTTTTAAACGTATATCTGCTGCACGGCAGGCAAGGTCAGAAAGGTTTGACACAAAGTGAGGTGGGGTTTTTTTGGCTATTTCACATCTTTTTCCTCTGACTGGAGATCTGGATTGTTGCCAAGCACCCTTCTCTGCATCCTCTTTGCTTTTGTTGGCTAGAAAGCAAGATTGGAAATTCTTCCCCAACTTTTTTACTTTCTTTCTACATAGTCACCCCAGAGAGAAGTTGTAGTGCTTGTGCTAACAGATGCCAATTTCCAAATGCTTTCCTATGAATATCCAATCTAGTAAATTATGAAAATCACCAGCAATGCCTTCAGACAAGTGCTGACTTTTTGAAGCTGCCAACCAACGGCTGCTAATCTAAAATCTCTGGGCAATACCACAGAGAATGAAATCTGTATGAATTAAAAATACAATGTTGTCACCCCATAAGAAATCAAGTATGCAACAGTAAAGTCTGCAGCATGATTAAATTAAGTGGAAAGTAGTTCCAAGGTAATTTTTTACCATTGAGGAAGACAAATGTTGAGTCCTTCAAATTCTCTTGCTCAGTAATTGCAGTTCTCTCCCCTCTTTGGAAATCTTCTAAGCCATTCTTTTAATTTAAGTTTGCTCAGGCACCCAAGAGCATAAAGAGTTAATGCCCTTGTAATGGTCATTTGTACATAAAGTTGTAATTATTTATTTTCTCATTTGTACCATATCAAGGCTTTGTACAATGTTTAAGTTTTGTTTTCAAATTATTTTGTATTTTATTTTTATAGACTGGTTCTAAATAAAATATTCATTCAGCATGCAAAACTTCAATTCCTAATTGTGTTTGTATAATGACTCATTAATTTATAAAGCTTCAGTTGAGTTTTTTTTCAATTTTTTTTTACTATTGTAATTCAAATGGAGAAAGTACTTTGGCAATGATTATTTTTTTTCTCTGTTACAAGAAAGCAAAAATCAAACATGTGTTGGTACTACTGCAGCATCAGTAGATGTTCATATTGCAAATCAGAATGATTGGATCAATGATTGGAAGTATAACTAATTTAGTAGGTTCCTGTGTTGGATATCAATAAGAACAGAAAAACCTAGGCGGCCTCCTCAGAATCTTCCCTTTCTATTTGCTCTTGCTCTTATCCCTTCTGTCTGTATTCATTTAAACAATAAATGATTGGCACATCTAGATCAGGTCAATTTAAGTAACAATATGGTGGTTCTGAAAAGCCAACTGGTGCTGGCTTTTTTTTCTTCAAAATTGTAGTTTTTTTATTTAGTCAGAGGCCACTATAATTGACTTCTTTTGGTGATAACTGGGTGTCTGGATGTAGTCACTGAGCTTTTACAGCCTCTTGAGGAGACCTGTACAATACACTTAAGTGGCAGATAGCAGAGAAAGGAGTGAGTGGAAGTTGTTACTGAATCTGAGAACCTCGTGGTATGGGGAAATGCATTGATAAGCTACCAGTTGCTCTAGTTTCCTCCAAGACCCTTTTATTTATCTTTCTAGTAAAATTAGGTAAAAGTAGAGTGCAATATCATCACAATTTATATTTGTGGTTTGTGTGCCTGCAGGTCTCAGTCCTGTGCTGTGGCAAATATTGCCTGCTTGTTGCAGAGCAGAACAAGTTTTTTAGGCAAGTTCAGAAGAATTGGAGAAAATTTTCTGGATAGATTTCTCAGTATTACCACTGCTATGCCTTGTATGTAAGGCAAATTAAAAGCCAGCCCTGCCTTTGTTCACATCATTGGCAGTATTTTCACTAAGGTTCATGATGAGGTCATTAGCCCTTGTCATTTATACAAATAGCTTAAATAGCTTCACACAAGAGGAAATACATTGGGAATTCATTTACTCAGTAACAGTCCAAGAAAGTGATGTTTCACCTTGTGTTAAGAGCAGCCAGAAACTTAATGTGATGGCTTTTGGATGTTGTGTGCTTTTGGCGCCTCTAACAGAATCATCACTTGATCACAGAAAGGGTGTGTAAAGAAATAGCAAACCAGCTGTATTAACTGGAAGCTGAAAAGAACAAATTTGTGCACTCTGTAGTGGCAAGAGGTAGCTCAGTTTATTTCCTTGTTTAAAATATGTAAATCTGGATCATACCAGAAATGGAAGAGTGATTTTGGTCTGGCTCCAGTATACATTAGCGGTACAACTGACAGACTGGGAAAGAAGCAAGATTGGAACAAAGGTGCTGTGGCAGATTGATGTTGAGGTCTGGTCATTGTCTGCCCACTGTCTTTTGGCATTGCCTGGCTTGTCTTTAATTACACAGGAGATTCAATCTGCCGATTCTGCTCTTAGGATCTTGCTGAACTTTTCTGTACTTGCACTGTAGCTCGTTTAAATCAGTACTCGAACATGAGAAAGCCATGTAGCAGACACTCCTCAACTCTCTCTAGAAATGCTGTAGTATGTTGACAGTTGCAAAAAGAATTGAAACATCAACAGAAAGACAAGTAAGAATTGTCACCTGGACAAAGTCAAACTGCTGCCCAGAAGGACCAGGTAATGTTTAGATCACATTTTGTTAATCTGCCTGGAATGTCATGGTAGCATTAATTTGCTTCTTTGTCCATGAAAACAAAGTGCAGAAAGTGCAGAAGACCCTGCTCCAGAGAGTACATTTGTACTGATGGGGGAGAAATAATGCTTCCAACAGGTTATTTTGGAAAGCTTGTAACAACATAGACTCAGAAATCTGACTTAGAAGGATTAGGTCTTTCTCATTCTTCAACCCAGCAATTTATTAATGTCTGTCACACACACAGCCTCCTTTTCTTAAGGTAAACCTAAAAAAGAGAACCTTCTCTTCTTCAAGGCATTAATCCCAACTGAGAGTGTGCTGTACATGTATACTTTTTACTTTTGTGAAATATTTGCTTCTTTTATGCCATCTATGATACTGAAGAGAAACACTTGCTAACACCTTGACTGCCCTGTGTTCATGTTTTAGCAGGCAGCAGCTGTTGGTTTCTGAAGTGCAGGTGTGTGAAATCAGTCCACTGTAATGGTATAAGGGCAGAAGTGAAAAACTGAAATGTATGTTTTCATATGGTATAGCGTTCTGTCACGGTTGACTACAAAAATTACATACTTTGCCCTATGATTACATATTCTTATGCTTCTAGAAGAGGGACAATTGGTTGCCATTCTCTGCATCAGTTGTATTTGCTAAATTCGTGCAGCAGGAATGCTTGGGCAAACTAACTGTAAAACTAGAGGCAGCTAGTCATTGCTATAGTCCAAATTTATCTGTAGGACTTTGATGTTGGTGATAAATGATTAAGAAGTCAACCTGCATGATTTTTCAGGTCATTGGACAAAATTGCAGGTGAGAGTGTTTTTGTTTCCCCTCCCGTACGGACACCAGATGTAAGAACACAGCACCTCAGCTACTTCTGAACTGAGCAAAGTAAGTGGCCGTATTTCTCTATTTTAATCATGTGACAAAAAATGAGACTACCCTGCTAGTGCAGTAAAACAAAATGTCTCTGAGGAGAAGGTGCATTTGACAAGCTAAGAATGAACAATAGCCAAGGGGAACAATGCTGTATGAATTCTGAGGATTAGATTCATGGATCAGCAGCTCAGTCCTAAACCATTCATAGAATAAGCAGGTATCTCAAACTCTTACTGGGATGCCTTGCACAGCACAGACTTAAAAAACCCCAAAAACAGCCAAGCAAACACCCACAGCTTTATAATTATTAGAAAAAGGAAGTACTAAAAAAACCAACTACTTCTGAGGTTTGTTTAATCAAAGAACTAAGCAACTTGCGTTAAGACAGCTCCTGGTGGTCAGTAACCATAATGTTACTTTTTCTACCCCACTCTCATGCCTTTTATTTTTCAAAAGGTGACATGAAACAAAGGATGATATAGACAAAAGTCTTACTCAAATGTTTGTTTTTTTAAGAGAGTAAGAGGATAAAGAAAACAGAAGAAAAATATTAGCCAACTGCAACAGAGTTAACAAACGGGAGACTGGTAATTAGTGTTTAATGCCACCTATAGCAAAAATGTTTCCCACTGGGAAAAACACAGGAGGCAAGTCCACTTTGCTCCTTCAAAGTCACAGGCCGGAGCAGAACATACAACAGCACCTAACACCACAGTCACTTTACATATATTCAAGTTTTTACACATCTGCAAAGCAGAAGTAGTAGCAGCCATTTGGATGTTCTTTCTTAATGGTTCTCACAGAGGGCCTAGAAAACTCAGAGGGACCTGGTTCTTGTGTCATGGAGCTGGAGCTGCTGCTGCTGCTTCTGCTGCTGCTTCCAGCCATCTGCACTCTACCTCTGTCCTCAGGAGGGGAGATCTGGGGGGAACCTGGGCTCAGGTACCCAGCTGTGGTCTGAGTAGAGGCAGTGGCATGTGTGGTTGGGCCAGTGTTGTTTTTCACATAGACGTTTTTGATAGCAACAAGCGTATGCGCCATGATGCTGATGCTGTTACTCAGATCCTGCATGCCTTGCTGCAGCAGCCGAAGATTGTGGTTGACACTGTCAAAGCCAGACTGGATCACCTGAATCTGGGTCTGCTGAATCTGGAGTAGGTCCTCTTCAGTTATTTCATTTTGGTCTGCCTGAGACCTGCCTTTTGTTTTGGCTTTTACTTTCCCAGAAGAACTACTGCCTGATGTCCCTAGAAAAGGCAGTTCTTCTTGATTAGGTGAAACCACAACCATGTCCTCAGAGCTTTCTTCTGGCTCTACCACCTTCACTACTATTTCTTCTTTGAGGTTCATCTTCTCAACACTGCATTGATGAGATGGGCCAGGATTGCCATTAAACCCTAGAGGAGAGGGGGGAAGAGGAAAATCAAAGGAGAGCCAGTGAGAAACTTCATAACCTTGATGGTCAGTGAAATGTGTTTTCATCCACTAAGCACTAACATTAGTCCTTGAAACAAGACTCTCAAACTCATACTATGTTATCTTTGATGCTTTTAAAATACACCTCGGTAGGTGGGAAGAAAACCATAAATATGCATTCACCAATTAACCACATTACAGATCCCTTACCAGCCTTACCACAGAAGCTGAACTTTAGGTTCCAAGAGACAAAGTTCATTGCAAGCTCATTGCACACTACTGTGCAGCAAGTAACCAGTAAGAGCATTGATGAAACACTGATAGCAAGAAATCCCATGGTATTGAAGGTGATCATTTCAACGTGCTAGCGCAATGTCTCTGCCACGCAGTAACTTATGTACTCGCAGCACTTTGCGCTGGCAAGAACTGTGTGCTGCCATGGCTTTTTGGCTTTTGCATTTGCAAGAATAAGTACTGCAACGGTGAAGATCAGTGGCAGGGTCTAACGGCTTGACAATGAGCAGTATCTGCTACAGGACAGGGTTTTTACTCCTGGGTGATGTTTTGGTGCACTTTCATGACCTACAGCACAAAGCCTCGCAGTTCAGCGTGCGTGCACACACGTTTTGCATTTCCAAGGACAGAAGGTGGCTATCCGAACCAGACATTTCCAGCGCGGCTGGTGCCCGCAGCGCCCTGCGCGCACGCAGCGGGCGGACAGCGCCGACCCGCCGCGCAGAGCGCGGGACGCCGGCCGGAGGGTCCGGGGCGGTGCCGCGGGGGTCGCTCCCGCACTCACCCATGTCCCCCACGACGGCGCCGGGCAGCTCCAGCGTGTCGATGCCGCCCACGATGGGCACGGCCTCGGCGGGCAGCAGGGAGCCATAGGCGCGGCGCTGGCGGCGGGCGGGCGGCGCAGGCGGCAGCTCCTCGGGGGCCAGAAGGAGGCCGAGGGCGGGGGGGCCCGGCGGCCCGCAGCCCTGCGAGAGGCGGCACAGCTTGCTGCGGTCGCGGCGCTTCAGGTCCCGCCAGCGCTTCTTCAGGTCCTCCACGTCGCGGGGGCAGGCAGCCACCGGGTTCACCTTGTGCCGGATCAGCTCCCACACCTTCCTCTTCTGGCCCGGGGAGGCGCGGCCGGGTCCCGCCGCGAACAGTAGCTGTTCGTGCTTCAGCACCTGCTCGATCAGCACCTCCGTCTCCGCCTCGTTGAAATTCGCCTAGGGCGCGCAAGGCGAATTTCAAC